GGAGAGGGAGAGGGAGAGGGAAAGAGGCAGGGAGAGACAGAGAGAGTGAGAGAGATAGAGAGAGGGAGAGAATGCTTAAGTTTTCTTTCTTTAAGCTACAAAGAAGCAATCTTTGGGTGCTGTCCTCCAGGAAAAAGTAGTAAGGTTATTTGACTAACTAGGTTGCCAAGCCTGAATGCATTTTAGTACGCAGTGCCCCTAACACTTGTTTGCATTCTGAAGGAGACTATGCTCCATGTACATAAAGACTCGCTTGACTTTTCTGTAATAAATGAAATTCATTATCTTTCCACAGCAGAACTATTTTCATTATTTCTCAATGAATCGTCCTCATTATATAATGATACTCTTTCTAATACTTGTTTGTCAGCTTCAGTTAGAGCATGCTCATTCAGCTCTTCAAGTTTCTAGTTCAGTGTTATATGAAACAGTATCAAGTGAATATCCATAGCAAGCTTAGAGAAATCATTTACTTTTGGTATATTTTACTCTTAGCCTTTCCAGTAATGTTTGGTGATCACTAATAGGAAGTGATCATTCCTTCCTCCCTTCCATGTATCTCATGCAGTTTCCCTCCTGTCCCAATAAAAAAAGCCTTTTATCAAAAACTGACATCCTAAATGAAGGACATAATTGTATAGCTTATTTATTAGTGTGTTAAACTTAAAATGTAATGGTTTCATATTTCAAAATGAAAGCATGCTGTGATTCATGGCTGTCAGTGACAAAGGGGACAGCTCTTCCGTATGGCTGCTGTGATTGCTTTGCATACATACTGGATAGCTGAATCCTGCTGCTCTCTTCCTGTACAATAGCTCCCTCTGCTTGAAAATATCAGCGTAATTATAGCTTAACACTATGTACCTTCTTAGTACGTAGGATCTTAGTGAGATCCTTTTCTTTTTTGTCTGTTTGAATTCTCTTGCTACGTTATGCCTTGTTAAATATCAGATTATGCTAGACAGTTAACAAGGGCCTGGTCACTTGGAAAAAGTCAAGGTCAGTTGAGAAGAAAAAGTAAGAATTATATTTGAGAGCATTGCTCAAAGGCTGTTGTAGGCTTTGTTGATGTTGATGTGTATATTTTGTTATAATTCTGTGCAGTGCTTTGAAAAGAATGTACTGAGGTGTGGAAAGCAAAACCAGAAATCTTCAGAAGAGCCACCAGCACTTCTCACAGATAGCCTGTATTTTGGCACATTCTTGCTTTGCTAATTCCAAAGTGTTACAGTAGATCTGGCAGTTTCTTTCTCCCTCTTTTCTCAAGAAGAATTCGATAGAAGCAAGCACAGTAGAACCCTGCTTTGCTACAGTGGCCTGTGTAAAATGGTATAAAATACACGCATGAGGAAACAGTGCAACGAATGTGCTGTGGCTGGGGAACAAGGAAGGCTTAGCAGCAGCGCCTCGTCGTTCCCATCTATACCAGCAAAGCAGGCAGAGCTGGAGTGGGCGGTAGGGCATCTGCAGCAGAGTGGCTTTCCCGCATTCAGACTTCTTCCTGACAGCTCTCCTGAGCAAGCAGCAGAGCCTGGTGCTCAGGAGTAGGGTTGACCCAGCAGAAGCTTGGCTCTGTCCCTAACCAGTGGCTAGTGGTGTCCAGGTTTCTTCTCCGTATCACTTTCTATTGTCTGAAATTCAGACTGTAAGCTGGTATTGTGGCTCACACCTTTAATCACAGCACTCAGTAAACTGAAGCAGAAGAATTACTCTTGAGTTCCAGGTTTTTCTTCAGAGTGGCATTCCTAAAGCAGATGCATTAATATGTCATCTTTTGTACTCAAATCAAAGAACACAGGGTCCTCCACTGGATGAGAGATCTTCAGATTGGCTTGCTCATGAATTCCCTTTATCTGTATTGGAATCTTTCTGATCTAGGTCCCTAAATCTGTCATAATTTCAGTTATTTTAAAACATGCACTGTAAGCACATACCTGTATGTGTGTTGCTGATGCTCTCATGCCTGGTAGTCACTTTACCATGCAACATTTAATCTGTTTGTGTGGGAGCGTGTGTATGTGTGTGTGTGTCTGTGTGTGTGAACATGTGTGTGTGTGTGTGAGTGTGTGTGGGGATCGTGTATGTGTTAGCATGTGTTGGGGGAGCATGTGTATATGTCGGGGGGGAGTGTGTGTATCTGTGTGTGTGTGTCTGTCTCTGTGTGTATGGGAGTGTGTGTGTAAGAGCATGTGTGTGTGTGTGTGTGTGTGTGTGTGTATGTATGTGTGTGAGATAGTGTTTGGGGGGAGCATGTGTGTGTGTGGGGGGGGAGCATGTGTGTCTCTGTGTGTGTGTGTGTGTGTGTGT